TATGGGCCTTTCTGACCTCTCCTATTACTTAGGGCCAGGCGCCAAAATTGTAGCGGTTAGGGTATGGCCTCTGTCCTAGCCGCAACAGCGGTAGAAGTAGTGGTTGTATTGTATTTTGATGTCACTTTCCTATTGTATGGAAAGCGCTCTCAACGGTGACTTATGCCAACCGTTTATATGAAGTGATGCTAAGGTGAGAGAAACACGTCCAGCGCAACATTTGATGTTACTGGTTAAGAGCGCGCTCAATCAACGTAAGAATTAAAGAAACACACACTCTGTATGCAAAACTGAAGTAGGCTCAAGTAGGCATCGCGATCAAAGATATATAGTGGTTGATGTGTAGTAGCTAATTTAACAAGCGTAGACTACAACGAAACCGCTCGCGACAGTACATCAAAGTCCGCGTATGATCACATAGCGTAGTCTAGTCAAGACTCCTAATAACGGCTCCCTGGGAAGGTACAGCAACTTCTGCTTGCGTCCCCATCAGCCGTAAAGTAAACGGATCCTGAAGTCCGGGATTCCTGTTTTTTGCAACTTTACCGTCAACCGAGTTTATGCAACAGAGCTCAAGCGAGCAATAAACTCTTATGCACAGAAGACTATTTTGGCGAGCGCAAGTATGCTTTCGATAAATTCTCGTCGGGCCAGTACATTTATATGAGAACGCGGTACAAGTTAAAGCGTGGTCGTCTTTTCGTGCAAGGGAGTCGTGGGAATAGGGGGGAGGGGTCGATAAGAGCAGGCTGGTTATGAGGGTAGGGATTGGCGGAGCAGTTTAGGGGAAGGGAGGGAGACTAACTGAGCGCGGATGAGTGCATGCCGCTAAGTGGCTGTGGGCCACGCCAGATGTAGAGCTTGTAGGAAATTCTTTTGTGCATCTAGCGCCAACTTCATCAACCTGATAGCGGTCGCTTCTGCTGTTGCTAGTAGGCTTAGTTGGGTCCACCCGATGTTCGGAATTAACCACGTGTGCCAAAATAGAGCTCTTTATGCTCCTGACTTCACCTTTTCTCAGCCATGCCTGGAGGT